TGTTTTACAATTAATCATGGACATAGACCCTTAGAAATTATTCATTGTATGCTACAAATGAAGTAATGATAGTTAATAATAGTTACCACCACCCAATATAATAACTGTGTTAAAATTACACGATTCTCAAGGGTATATAACTGTAAGACAATTCTACACTTTGTCACACTCTTGGGACATGTCGCCTCGAAGTATAATAAACTAGAGCTCGAGCTTAAGACCTTAGAATCGCGGTGTGAGATACAAAACAAAGTTTCCAACTTTAGTTAACAAGAGAAACTTTTTAAATGAGTTCAAAAAATTTTATAAAAGTCACATAAACCATTTTATTCTTATATATTGCAAATACTAAAAGCTTTAACAAAAATAAAATGAGTTAATTTATTGCAGTGTTTCAGTGGTTAAGTAATTTAAAATATGAAAAATTAATTAATTGACAGTTTGATAAATACAAAATATGAGTTTAAATACTTCAGGAAATATTTATATTACCTTCAGTTTCATGTCTCTATGCGAAAAATTTCTAAATAAACGATCAATGCTTTTAATGAAGGTACATATTTTGTTTGTTCGTAAAATTTTAATCCGTATATAAAAAGACATTACACGTATTTTTAATTTACAAATTAATTCACAACTTTAGGAAAATAACCCTCAAATTCGTAACTTCGCGTAACATAAATTAAATATTTACGAGTGCTAATCATTCTATTCTTTAAATTTTGTTTTTATTGTATTTAATTTATTACAAGCACATTTTTAATCTTCTTTCTGTCTAACGAAGAAGATACACCACATTCAAATTACATAGCAACGATTATTATTCCCGCCTTTTCTAACATAGTAACGGTTGTTATTCCCGCCAATTCTACCATAGCAACGGTTATTATTCCCGCCATTTCTAACATAGCAACGGTTGTTATTCCCGCCAATTCTAACATAGCAACGATTATTATTCCCGCCTTTTCTAACGTAGCAATGGTTGTTATTCCCGCCTTTTGTAATAGTAACGGTTTCTATTGTCGCGTTCTCTGATACAAAATTTTCCTCCTTTGTTGGTAGTGTTTATCTAACGAACATAAGGACCGTGAACGAGATTGGTGTAAGCAACGGTTATTATTCCCGCCATTTCTACCATAGCAACGATTGTTATTCCCGCCAATTCTACCATAGCAACGGTTATTATTCCCGCCATTTCTAACATAGCAACGGTTGTTATTCCCGCCAATTCTACCATAGCAACGGTTATTATTCCCGCCAATTCTAACATAGCAACGGTTGTTATTCCCGCCAATTCTACCATAGCAACGGTTATTATTCCCGCCATTTCTAACATAGCAACGGTTGTTATTCCCGCCAATTCTACCATAGCAACGGTTATTATTCCCGCCTTTTCTAACGTAGCAATGGTTGTTATTCCCGCCTTTTGTAATAGTAACGGTTTCTATTGTCGCGTATCTAGGGGAGATCATTCTGGAACAAAAGCGGCGACACCAGAACGGTAAGTCTGCTCCTTGTATCTTACACTGTCGCTTACATTCCGCGTTCCCCAGAGAAGTGTACATAGCAGGTGGATTGCGTCACGATAAAAGTGTATCGCCAGAGAACGAGGTTCTCGATCGTGCAAAGCAGAGCCGCTCAGGTAGATATTTTAAAAGCAAGAACATTCTCCGTTGCTGGTGAGCAAAGCGAAGAGCAAATGACGTCGACAATCACGAATAGAGTAGGGAGCAACGGTAATGGTGGGAGTATAGGCTCGTAAGGGAGCATGCCGTGATACGTTTGTGAGGCGTTTCGTATCATCGTATGGTTACTTTTTTCTGCCTGTACGATCACTTCTACATTCATACTGCACCCCACCACAGGATCGTTGCTCAAGGCGGCGTGGCTTACTGCTTGAATATCGCACCGTGCTCGAGTTTGTCTGACCATTTCACGTAGAGCAACCTCGAAATCAGTGTAAAGAATCGTTCTCGAGCGATCAGACCGGCTACGTATGTACATCTTTTCGTCTTTGAGAACCGCTTTAGTGAAAGGAATACCGACGTTCCACGATAGAACGTCTATCCAACATAACTTATCGCTCAATATTTCACGGGTCGGCTTTGCGATTATGCGATAGAGACAATTTCTCATTGGTGGACTTAATAATTATTAGTTGGAGAACTTATATGTAGCTAATCTTTTTCAATCCGTTTGCTTTTTTGTTCTTCGCGATTTACGTTTCTGCACGATTTTCACTTGCAATTTAGTGTTCGCTACCGTTCGAGATATACGTTCGGTAGTTTTTCTTACGATGCAAGGGTGCCTGCATTCCGTGACGGTAATTTGTTTGACGGAAGGACGAAAAATTACTCGTATGCCCTCGTGTATATGGAGAATAAACGGGGACGTATGAATGAGGCCGCGACACCATAACTTCGACAACTTTTTTCGCTCATTAGTCTTGTTTCAACATACATAGGATATGCTTGATTTCGATTCATCGTTTTCGGGTTGATACATAAATGCAGTTCTGAATCGGCAAGATGTTGACAATTAATTGATGATAGATACAAATGTCACGAACAAAAAGAAGAACTTTCCTAAGATATTCTATTTATGATTGCTCACTTGAATATTTTGTTTCCTGTTTCTATATTTTGAACGATGACTTGTAGTGTAATGATTTGGTGATTATACGTAAAACTTACGGTGACACTTTTAACACATATTAAATTATTTTGCACTCAAGAGTTTCGTTTTCAAGGTATGAGCTGTTATTTATTCTTAACCTAACCTAACTTGTTGCTTTATTTTTACGAACACTGTTTACTATTCTACAATAGTACACTGTTAGATGGGGAAGGTCGAAATATTAAACGTAATTTGTATTTATTAATTCTCCGTTTATAAATTAAAACCACAGACAATATGAAAGTGACACTATTAGTAATATAACCTGTCTTTATCGTGTCTGTTGCACGTGTGTAACTAGATGTTGCGTCATTGCTTCAAAATGCTCGATAAATTAGTACGTTACTTTTTACGTAGCACTGAATTCTATGGGAATGAAAAGTATCGTAATATTAAAAGAATAATGCAAAATTAAAATAGATATATAAAGTTATACCAGATATTTTGACACAATAGTAGAAAATTGTTACAGTAAATGCGTTTAAAATATGAAATATTGAAATAGTAAAAAATATAAGTAGAATTTTAATACAAACTATAATAACGGCTGAATCACTCTCTATGGCATACGCGTTATCTGTGATTCGTAACATAAAATTTCTTTAGTCGCTGCGTTGCATTTGATATGCTGATTAGTCAAATCTAGAGCGTTTATATCGTTCAACGATAAGAATATTAATTGCACTAAATGGAAAGTTTTCGATGGGTCACCGATGGATTCAAACTGTACGAAACATATTTAACAATGCTCGCTTGAATACCGTAAAAAAGAGAAATGTGTCAATATAACAACATATTGCCGCGTAACGTGATTTCGTAGTCATGGATAATCTGTGTGAATGGCGAGTAACGCGATTTAAAATTCATGTCACATTGTATTACAAATCTTGACAATGCACAACACCCACTTCGAAATGAACGGTAGTTGTAAGGAGGACGTGGTTGTTGGTATTATTTGCGAGTATAGGTGTCGATGACATGCGAAATATCTGCAATTGTGGGATGTAGCACATTCCATGTGTTCCATTTCATTTTTAAATTAGTCGCGCATTATTATCGCAATTCCGTTTGATTCACGGCGTTATAGAAATTACTGCAATTCATGCAATGGCGTTTCTTTTCACATGCAATTAACATGCAATTTTTTTTTTTCAATTTTTTCAAAATAATACCTAACATTAATACAATTTTTTGGGATACTTTTGGAATATTTATTCTTATGTTGGGAAACATTTTTGGAGTGTTATAAAATTTACAAAATTATTACACAAGTGATGAGAAAAAGTCTTTGTTAACAGGGAATTGTGTAATTTGTTTGCAAAGACTAGAAATACAGGAAGTGAGGAATCTTATTTTTCTAAACAATCAGTGTACTCGTTTAAAGTATTGCTAGTTTAAAGTAGAATACTAAAATCTGAAATCAGAATACACCATGCTATGCTAAGAAATATATAAACACTATGAATATATCCTACAAACATAAAAAATTACAGTAGCAGCTGGTAGTGCCAATTAAACAGATAACGAGTAACAAATGTTTCATTAATACAAGTTTAAATACCAATTATATTAAAATTATTACTTAGACTAATTATACTAAGTAATTTTCTTCTTGCTATTCTAATAATCCAAATAACCTGCTTCTTTTTATTGACTGCACCAAGCAAACATTTCATATTCTATTTACAGCCCTATTATAATCATTTTTACTGCAACTATTATCTTAGCGTTAACTAGTAATTAATAAACATAAAAAAATAGTCAAACTTTCATCTCTGAAGCACAAGTTCACCTATGATTTTAATAATTCAATTTCTCTCGTTCAATCTATCCGTTATATATTCGGTCACTTTCTGTCCACTTTGACGAGCAACAAATTACTCGAAATTTGCCCTTTAAACTATATCCACGAGATCAGCCGGTGCGTAAAAAAAAAAAGCAATCATACGAAACTCGGGCTGGGCAATCGAAGTGTTCGAATGATCTGTCGCAACATGGTCGAGTACGGTTTAACCGACAATAATCAACAGTTTCACTGACCACGGTGATAAAGTTAGCGCCAGCAATTTTCGGGCATGCAGCAGGCACTAATGACGCCATTCATTACGCTCCCGATGTTCTCGAAGCGAACAGCCGACGGGCCGGTGGCTCGTTTGTTTTAACAGTCACATCGCGAACGAGCAACCCAAATTACGTTCCCTTTACCGTGTGTCGCAACAACGACTATTTGTAACTGGAGAATGCGACCGACTCATTGATATTCCTGCGGTTATCGGGTCGAATTTTTCTGCGGTTCTACCTGCCGTTACACTTTGCATTATAAGACATCTTTCCTTTCCTTTCTTTTCTTTTCTTCTCTTTCCTTCGGTGTTTCGTGGCAACGTTTCACCTGACGCCAAGTTACGTCAGGTATACTACACCTTCGCACGGTTGCTTTCGATTTGCATGTAACCTTTTAGAACGCATTGTTCTGCACGTGGACATCGCGGTCTCCTGGTTGTCTGTGCATGGTGAACGCGCTAGCGTGATAGGAAAGCTTTTAGACTGATTGAATGTTTGGAACTTTTTGTTGGAAAGCTTTGATTTTGGTATTCGGTGTTATTTGATAAATGTAATTTTTTGGCTTGTAAGGGGGCGTTCTGACGGTCAATATATTGTCAGTATTTCAGAGTTCTCAGTATTGGTGCGAAGGAACCCTCAGAGGATCAATGTATGTGCCACTCAGAAGCTATAATGATTAGTATCAAAGCACATGCTTGGTTCTTAGTTGTTCATACATAAAACAAATTTAATGTACTTTATTTCATGGTGGATTCTGAGTGGCTCATATATTGTCGCTACAGTATTGTCATTTTCCTATTGTATGTTGAACCCTGAAATATTAACAATATATGAGTCACTCAGAAGCTAAAATGATTAACTCCACTTTTCAATATTCTTCCAATTTTAGTATCTAAGTACATGCTTGATGCTTCATTTTTTATAAATAAAACAAATTTAATAAATTTTATTTGATGGAGTTAGTCACTTTGCACATTTAAGTATTGCACAATAATGTTGAGAACCCTGAAATATTGACAATATTATACGTATCGTTCGTCTGAAGGCCCCTTAAGAGTAAGGAAATTGAGGGTCTAAAGTGTATTGTTGTGAAATTTATTTTTTGACTTGCCGAATAAATGGGAAAAGTAAAAATAATAATGAACGAGGGACAGATATGAAATAGAAATATTTAGACTGATTAAATACACTTATGTTGATTTTGTTATTCAAACATTTATATATGATTTTGAAAGTAAGGAAGTTGCACGTATAAAGTGTATTTCTTATGAAACATATTTTTTGACAAAAATAATAGCGACCAGAAATAGACGTTGAAACTCATTTTAAGAATACTACAAGCTAATTTGAGAAATGTCATTTAAAGTTCCAATTCTTCTTCTTATTCATCCTTTTACAGAAAGTCAAAGATACAGCTTAATGAAAAAAGGAATGTAATTATTTTAAAATAGAAATTTTCATTCTACACTTGTTACATATAATTATCAAAGAATGCGTTGTCCAGAAATCAAATTCAGATGTAACTATGTAAAAGCCAAATATCATACAGATGAATTTTACTTTACAAGTATCTACATTAACATTTGTCAAAGCCGTGATATCGAAGATGAAGCACCGTAAAAGTAAAATTCATGTCGCAAGTGGGGCGATAAACGGTACCAAAATTGTGTTTCATCGCGTGATCTGACCTATTCGAAAATGACAATAAATTCCGCACGATAACGTGCTATGGTGATATATCGTCGATTTACCATGCAAATCGTT